AAAGTACCTGAATAATCGTATTCTGTGACTTCGCATCGCATCCATTGTCACTTGTTTTATCATTACGATTTTTGAGGTGTAGAGACGGCACCAAAATTAGTCTAGGGGTGACATTTATGAAAGAAATGAAGCAGTCGAATCAAAAGAAGGTGCAGAAAAGAAAATTCATGAATATTAGAAGGAGGGATTGGTGGTTTTATTGCCTAAGAATTGACGTAATCAGGAATTTAGTGAATTTAAGCTTGGTATATTTCGGCAACACACACACACACATACGTTCTCGTCTTGCTGTCTTGCGTTCAACTCCCCGCCCTGACAGTGGATGGCAACCCCGGCCATTCCTCGCACACAGGGGTAGTTTAGAAACATAATAAACAGACAAACCACAATTTGGCTGATGTCACAAGAGCCTGTCCCACCAAACCCTAAATATTATTACACACATATAAGCACAAACTCACTTTTTCTCTCTCTCTCTCTCTCTCTCTCTCTCTCTCTCTCTCTCTCTCTCTCTCTCTCTCTCTCTCTCTCTCTCTCTCTCTCTCTCTCTCTCTCTCTCTCTCTCTCTCTCTCTCTCTCTCTCACTCTCTCCACTCTCCTCTCTCTCTCTCTCCCATCTCTCTCTCTCTATATATAGTTACTCTATTTTCATTTTTACTAATATTTCTACGGTTAAAATGTCGAGGTCATATTATCGTTACAGTAGTTACAGCGAGGACGACATATCAAAATCATTATTCCTCTCTCTCTCTCTCTCTCTCAGAGTTCCCAAAGGTCATGCAACATTTACTGGTCATTGCGCCGGAGGGTTAACACATTTTTTTCAGTCAGGTCGTTGGAGTTCAGAGTTTAAATAAAGGTTGACAGGAAAATATGACTTCACTTCACCTGAAGGCTTTTCTGGGACAAAACCATTGATTTCCGAGCTCTTAGGATACGAAAAAGAATTGAAGTAAAATGTAAATGTTTATTTTCTTAGGAAGAATATTTGTATACAATTTTAGTGTAAAACATTTCCATGAGACAATGTGACATTAATGTTAACAATTGAGAGTAGATCGCAGTTCCTAATATTAAGATGGAATAACTTTTTTTTTCTTATGATTGTTATTGTAATTATCATCGTAATTATTGTTATTCTTATCATTAATATTATTATTTGATTACTCTGTCTCCCCAGTTCCTTTTCGAGAAATTCCTTATCTGATAATCTAACATATTCTTACACACATACCTTACATTTCGAAATAGTTATAATGAATGGGGTTAAATACAAGTATGAGGGTAATACAGACACCAAATGGAGGCGATCAGGTAACAGGTCAAGAGGTATTAGTGGAGGACATGCAGCATATGCATATCATATTAAGACTTTTTCGGGACAAAATTCATATACATTCATTTGTTATTAAGTGTGCTATACGGAAAAGATATGTACATATTCCCCTGTGACTCACCCTGTTGTCGGTGTTGCCAGTGAAGTGAACACTCACGTTACATCATTTTAATTTCAATTTTCGACTCTATCGAAAATCTTCAACATATACAAAGCATTTCATAAAGTCATTCATCTACACCGTTACTCGTAGTCGGCAATCCCCAATCCCCTTGGAGTGGAATCCCCTTGGAGTGGAATCCCCTTGGAGTGGAATCCCCTTGGAGTGGAATCCCCTTGGAGTGGAATCCCCTTGGAGTGGAATCCCCCTTGGAGTGGAATCCCCTAGGAGTGGAATCCCCTAGGAGTGGAATCCCTTGGAGTGGAATCCCCGTGGAATCCCCTAGGAGTGGAATCCCCCTGGAGTGGAATCCCCTAGGAGTGGAATCCCCTTGGAGTGGAATCCCCTGGAGTGGAATCCCCCCCGAATCCCCTTGGAGTGGAATCCCCTAGGAGTGGAATCCCCTTGGAGTGGAATCCCCTGTGGAATCCCCTAGGAGTGGAATCCCCTTGGAGTGGAATCCCCTAGGAGTGGAATCCCCTTGGAGTGGAATCCCCTTGGAGTGGAGTGGAATCCCCTAGGAGTGGAATCCCCTAGGAGTGGAATCCCCTTGGAGTGGTGGAGTGAATCCCCTAGGAGTGGAATCCCCCATCCCCTTGGAGTGGAAGGAGTGGAATCCCCCCCCTGGAGTGGAATCCCCCCCGAATCCCCTGGAGTGGAATCCCCTAGAGTGGAATCCCCGAATCCCCTGGAATCCCCTTGGAGTGGAATCCCCTAGGAGTGGAATCCCTTGGAATCCCCTAGGAGTGGAATCCCTTGGAGTGGAATCCCCTTGGAGTGGAATCCCCTTGGAGTGAATCCCCCCTGGAGTGGAATCCCCTAGGAGTGGAAGGAGTGGAATCCCCTTGGAGTGGAATCCCCCCCTAGGAGTGGAATCCCCTGGAGTGGAATCCCCTAGGAGTGGAATCCCCTGTGGTGGAATCCCTAGGAGTGGAATCCCCTTGGAGTGGAATCCCCCCCCCTTGGAGTGGAATCCCCTTGGAGTGGAATCCCCCCTAGGAGTGGAATAGGAGTGGAATCCCCTGGAGTGGAATCCCCTAGGAGTGGAATCCCCGAATCCCCTAGGAGTGGAATCCCCTGGAGTGGAATCCCCTGGAGTGGAATCCCTAGAATCCCCGAGTGGAATGGAGTGGAATCCCCCCCCCTAGGAGTGGAATCCCCTCCTAGGAGTGGAATCCCTAGGAGTGGAATCCCCTTGAAGGAGTGGAATCCCCCCCCTGGAGTGGAATCCCCGAATCCCCCCCCTAGGAGTGGAATCCCCCTGGAGTGGAATCCCCTGGAGTGGAATCCCCTAGAGTGGAATCCCCTAGGAGTGGAATCCCCCCTGGAGTGGAATCCCCCTGGAGTGGAATCCCCTTGAGTGGAATCCCCTTGAGTGGAATCCCCTAGGAGTGGAATCCCCTAGAGTGGAATCCCCCCTGGAGTGGAATCCCCTGGAGTGGAATCCCCCTGGAGTGGAATCCCCTGAGTGGAATCCCCGGAGTGGAAGGAGTGGAGGAGTGGAATCCCCTAGGAGTGGAATCCCCTAGGAGTGGAATCCCCTAGGAGTGGAATCCCCTTGGAGTGGAATCCCCTAGGAGTGGAATCCCCTTGGAGTGGAATCCCCTTGGAGTGGAATCCCCTAGGAGTGGAATCCCTTGGAGTGGAATCCCCTTGAGTGGAATCCCCTTGGAGTGGAATCCCTAGGAGTGGAATCCCCTTGGAGTGAATCCCCTAGGAGTGGAATCCCCCTTGGAGTGGAATCCCCTTGGAGTGGAATCCCCTAGGAGTGGAATCCCCTAGGAATGGAATCCCCTTGGAGTGGAATCCCCTAGGAGTGGAATCCCCTAGGAGTGAAATCCCCTTGGTGGAATCCCTAGGAGTGGAATCCCCTTGGAGTGGAATCCCCTAGGAGTGATCCCCTTGGAGTGGAATCCCCTTTGGAGTGAATCCCCTAGGAGTAGAATCCCTAGGAGTGGAATCCCCCCAGGAGTGGAATCCCCTGGAGTGGAATCCCCTAGGAGTGGAATCCCCTAGGAGTGGAATCCCCTAGGAGTGGAATCCCCTTGGAGTGGAATCCCCCTGGAGTGGAATCCCCTAGGAGTGGAATCCCCTAGGAGTGGAATCCCCCTTGGAGTGGAATCCCCTAGGAGTGGAATCCCCTAGGAGTGGAATCCCCTAGGAGTGGGGAGTGGAATCCCTGGAGTGGAATCCCCCTGGAGTGGAATCCCCCTGGAGTGGAATCCCCCTGGAGTGGAATCCCCTAGGAGTGGGAGTGGAATCCCCTAGGAGTGGAATCCCCTGGAGTGGAATCCCTGGAGTGGAATCCCCTAGGAGTGGAATCCCCTAGGAGTGGAATCCCCCCTGGAGTGGAATCCCCCTTGGAGTGGAATCCCTTGGAGTGGAATCCCCTTGGAGTGGGAATCCCCTAGGAGTGGAATCCCCTGTGAATCCCCTGGAATCCCTGGAGTGGAATCCCCCTGGAGTGGAATCCCCTGGAGTGGAATCCCTAGGAGTGGAATCCCCTAGGAGTGGAATCCCCTGGAGTGGAATCCCCTAGGAAGTGGAATCCCCTAGGAGTGGGGAATCCCCTGGAGTGGAATCCCCTGGAGTGGAATCCCCTTGGAGTGGAATCCCCTAGGAGTGGAATCCCCCTGGGAGTGGAATCCCCTTGGAGTGAATCCCCTTGGAGTGGAATCCCCTAGGAGTGGAATCCCCTTGGAATCCCCTTGGAGTGGAATCCCCTAGGAGTGGAATCCCCTTGGAGTGGAATCCCCCTGGAGTGGAAATCCCCTAGGAGTGGAATCCCCTAGGAGTGGAATCCCCTAGGAGTGGAATCCCCTGGAGTGGAATCCCCTGGAGTGGAATCCCCTTGGAGTGGAAGAATCCCCTTGGAGTGAATCCCCTGGAGTGGAATCCCCTAGGAGTGGAATCCCCCTGGAGTGGAATCCCCCCCCTAGGAGTGGAATCCCCTGGAATCCCCTAGGAGTGAATCCCTAGAGTGGAATCCCTTGGAGTGGAATCCCCTAGGAGTGGAATCCCCTTGGAGTGGAATCCCCTAGGAGTGGAATCCCCTAGGAGTGGAAATCCCTAGGAGTGAATCCCCTGGAGTGGAATCCCCTTGGAGTGGATCCCCTCCCTAGGAGTGGAATCCCCTTGGAGTGGAATCCCCTAGGAGTGGAATCCCCCTTGGAGTGGAATCCCCTTGGAGTGGAATCCCCTAGAGTGGAATCCCCAGGAATGGGAATCCCCTGGAGTGGAATCCCCTAAAGGGATAGGAATCCCCTAGAGTTAGATCCCCTTGGACTGAGAAATATAACCCCTGGAGTGAGTCCCCTTGGGATGGAATCCCTTAGCGAGTGAAATCCCTCCGGCTGGCATCCTCAGCGAAGTGGACCCCTCGAGTGGAATTCTAGAATAGAATCCTAGGAAGTGGAACCTCCCCCAGGAGTCGGAATCCCCTGCGAGTCGGATCCCCCTAGGTCGAACTCCCCTAGAGTGGAATTCTAGGAGTCGGAACTTCCC